AAGAGACCCGAGAACTCTAAAGACGAGGCTCACCAAGCCATTTATCTCCCCATCCTTCAATTAAACCCACATGTGTTTATCGGCCAGGTTGGCGTGATAAACTTTAACTAACTCAATTATTTTAATAGCTTCTCTTGCCTTAACCCAATAAGCCACCAGGTCTTATTTTAGGTGGGATGGAGTACAAATATATCTAAGGCAAATAATTATCGATATTAGTAGCTATATGAATGCCAGTAGGTAACATTTTGATAAATGGAGTAAAATTGAAGTTGTCAAGGATTTAATCTTGTTTGGATTCACAATCTATGTTCATGGAAGCAACAAACAAGAAATCAAATGATGTGTTGCATTGGGCAAATTTGCAGCACAGGACCCTTTTAAAGTATTTTGAGGATTAAGGTACACCTGACCCAAGTTAGCACATTTTCAATCACTTTATGCATGTAAAAGTGGTGATTGAATAACGAAGACCACAGAAGATAGCACCTATTATACAGCCTTAGTGGTCAAAACAGCGTGGTACTGATGTAATGACAGCTACTCAGACCAATGGAAAAGAACTGAAACTGAGAAGTAAAATCATCAGCATACAGACAACTGTATGCTTTGATAAGGGCCCAAAAAATATCAAATGGGAAGCAGATTCCCTCTTCAACAAGTGGTGCTGGAAAAAACTTTTCTACCTGCAGAAAAATATAGCAAGACTCTTACCTCACTCCATGCACAAGAATAAACTCAAGATGGATCACAGACCTTGAGATAAAAACCCCAAATAGGGCTATTAATGAGGGAATAGGGAGAAACATGAGAACTTTGGTGCAGAGAATACATAGGCTATTGGAAATAGGGAAGGACATAAGCACAGAGGAGGCACAAATTGACAAGATGGATGTACTGAAGATAAAACAACTGTGTACATTGAAATAATTCACCAAGGGAGTAATAAGAGAACCCACAGACTGAGAAAACATCTTTAGCAATGGCACATCAGACAAAGGCCTTATTTTTTTTATTAAAATCTACCATACTCTGCTAGCCTACAATAAGAAAAAAAACTAATAGCTCATTGAGGAGGTGGGCAAAGGACCTGAATAGAAGTTTCACAAGGGTTGAAATGGCCAAAAAACATATGAGAAAATGTACCTGATCCTAAGCCATAAAGGAAATGCAAATTAAAACAGCAATGAGGTACCACCTAATATCCTCAAAGGTAGCCCAATTCAAAAAATCAGAAAGTAACAAGTGTTGTAGGGGCTGTGGGGAGACAGGAACTGTCATCTACTACTGGTGGACCTGTAGGTATGTGCAGCCATTTTAGAAATCAATTTGGCAATACCTAAAAGACGGAAATCGAGCTGCCATACTACCCAGCAATCACCCTACTGGGCATATATTCAGAAGAGACAAGAAATAGACCTCGGCCAGACATCTGTGCTCCAATGTTCGTCGCAGTGCAGTTCACAATCACAAGGAGTTGGAAACAACCCAAATTTCCATCAACTGATGAGTGGATTAAAAAACTGTGGTAGATACATACAACAGAGTACTACGCATCCCTAAAAAGTAGTTATGAATGCATGAAGTACATGGGAAGAACTGGAGGAAATTATGCTAGGCGAAGTAAGCCAAGCACAAAAGGACAAGTACATTAGTCCACTGAGGTAAGCTTAAAAGAGCAAAAGGGGCATACACGGGTAAGCTACTGTATGCATACATTCCCAGGGTAGGTCCAGGCACTCTGGCAGGAGTCAGACCCAACCCAGGGATACATATGGCCAACTAAAAAGAGGAGGAAACAAAACAAAACAAAACACAAAGGACATGGATAGTCGGGGAACAGAGCACTAACCCACCCAAGGGGTGTGTATGTGTGTAATTGTTTGTATCTCCACAGGAAAGGGAGAGAGGGACTAGATCTCAACCCGGTGCACCAATACTTGAATGAAACATACCGCATGAAGCAGCAAATCAATAGAGAGGTCTGCGGGCCAGCCCCAATCCGAGCTATAGTGTATCCTTTCCCAAAAGAATGAAGTATAGATGACAGCACTGAAGCTACAGCTTGGGAAGAGGGCCACATCTGCTCAGAACAAGGGGGGCAAACTAAGAGGGAAGGAGAGTGGAACACAACCTGACCCATCAAATCCCAGGGACGATATTCCTGCTTAGAGCAGCCAATGCACAGAGTGGACCATAGGGCCGGCCCCACCATGAGACATGGCATTCCCTCACTGACCCATAGCACTGTGGGGGACAACACTGGAGACACAGTGTGGGAATTGTGCCCGATCTGACCCCACCACACTGGGGTGAAACACAAAGGGTGTGCAACCGAACAGCAAGAGGAGCAAAACAATGAAGTCCCCAAGAAATGCCAAAAATAGACTTTGGGGCACAGTGTGACACCTCAACAGACTCGACCAGAAAACACTCATCAAGTCAACAGATAGACCTGAAACTATTTATAGGCTTTTCTTTTTGTTGTTGCTTGTTTTGTTTTTTTCATGTCTATTTAGATAAGATAGGATATGCGATCCTGAGGAGGAGAAAATAGGACCCGATGGTTCCAGGGGGACATGGGAGAGGGGGAGGTGGGGAATAGAAAAGGGGGAACCAACAAACCTAGACACAAGGGAATAACAAGTGATCTAAAATTGATGGTGGTTGTGGGGCTTAATCAAGTGCAATGTAGCCAAGAGGAATTACTGGGAACCAAATGAAGGTCGACCATGATAGTGGGACAGAAGGAAAGGAAAAGTAAATAGAGGAAAGAACTAGGAGGCAAAGAGCATTTATAGAGGTATAAATACAGGCACATATGTAAATATATTTATAACCATAGGGACATAGTTCTATGTAATGATATGTTAAATAATAAGGTAGCAGATGAACATTGGGCCTCTACTCAAGTACTCCCTCAATGCAAGAACACTTCTTTCTAATAATCTGGCATTCTGTAATGTTCACCTTCCTGACACGATCACTAAAGACAAAATGGGTGCATAAGCAAATGTGGTGAAGAAAGCTGATGGTGCCTGGCTATCAAAAGATATAGCAAGGCTTGACGTTAAAAAAGCAGCCATCTAGCTGGGAAGCAACCAAGCCTACATTATGGAAGATGCGCACCGGCCTGTGTGATCATGAGATGTCAATGGGATCAGGTATCAGGCATCAGAAGACCCAAAACAAACAATCTTATCGATGTGAACGAGGGTTGTGGGAGCAGAGTAGAGACCCAAAGCTCATCTGTAGATAATTGGATATCCTCTCACAGAAGAGTCACAAGAAGGGATGAGTCAGCCAGGGTGCAGTATAGCATCGACAAAATATGCAACATTCCCCCACCTCCACCCCCATCATGACCCCAATTCTACCTTACAAATCCAGCTAGACCAGAGCGTGTATACTGGTACAGATAAAGCTCTTGACACAGGGAATCCAGGACAGATTACCCTTCAGGAACAATAATGGGAGTAGCAGTACCGTGAGGGTAGGGGGAAAGGAGGGAGAAAGTGGGAACAGATCATAATGACCGACATATAACACCCCCCCCCAAGGGGATGAACAACAGAAATGTGGGTGAAGGGTAACAGCAGTTGTTGTAAGATAAGAAAATAATTTATAAATTATCAAGGTTCATGAGGGAGGGACGGTTGGGGAGGGAGAGAAATGAGCTGATACCCAGGGCTCAAGTAGAAAGAAAATATTTTGGAAATGTTGATGGCAACTTAAGTACAAATGTGCTTGACACAATGGATGTACCCGGTTTCCCCGAAAGTAAGACATCCCCCGAAAATAAGACCTACTTACAGTTTTGCCTCTCGCTGAAATGTAAGGCATCCCCCCACAAAATAAGACACCGCCCCCTGAAGCTACCGTAACTCTGGACCGAAGAGGTGGATGCCACCACGCAGTTCACTGTTGGCTGCAACACAGCTGGGGCAGACAGGAAGTGCGAGGTCTTTTTAATAAAACAATAAATGGTACTGTATTCTTCATGGAAAAATAAGACATCCCCTGAAAATAAGACCTGGTGCATCTTTGGGAGCAAAATTTATATAAGATGCTGTCTTATTTTCAGGGAAACAGGGTATGTATAGATTGTGATAGGAGCTATAAAGACACCCCCCCCCCAAATAAAGTGTTGTTTTTTAAAAAAAAGCAAGACCACAGAAGAATTGATGCATTTTAATTATGATGTTAGCTAAGAATATTGGAAGTACCATGGGTGGCCTAAAGGACAAACAAATCTTTTCTTGTAAGAAGTACAGCCAGAGGAATCCTTGGAAGCAGGATGCTGAGACTTTGCCTTACATGCTTGGGCTCTGTTGTCAGGAGAAGAACGTCGTGTTGGTAGGGAAAAGAAGAAGGCCCTCCACACGATGGACTGAGAGTGGCCACAGCGGGCGCAAGCATAAGGACAAGTGTGAGGGTGGCACAGGACTGGGCAGAGTTTTGTTCTGTTGTGCATAAGGTCACTGTGAGTCAGAACCCGTTTGATAGCACCTAAAAACAACATGTAAATAAATACTCACGAAGGATAGCAAGTCAGCAACCTATTACGTAAAGTGATCTTACAAAGGCGTTTGGGGACTTTTTTATCCCCTTTGGGAATGATTTTAATTTTCTGTAGCAGATGTCACCATTAGCCATCTTATAGAGAAAAATGAATGAACTTTAGTTTAGCATCAGATTTAAGTATATTTACATATTTAATTGTAACATTTAAAGTCATTAACATATAAAACAGTTATTTTCAATTCTGGAGCATTTAGATTTGTGACTGTACGAACGTATGTGATTTAAGAAAATGACTGCTGAAAAAGAAATTGGCTACATATATAAGCGAGATTTTCATGATGTACTCTTACTGGATCGAATTTGAAGTATGTTGGAAATAAGACTGTAGGTTTAAAATTATAGATGTGTAATATACTTAAAAAGTGTGACCGTAAGTCTCCTCTTTCCTCTACTTCAATTCTTCTCTTTTGTTATAGATCATACATCAGTTGGCGGCCTAGGAGACAGTTTCTATGAATACTTACTGAAAGCCTGGTTGATGTCAGATAAAACAGACCATGAGGCAAGAAAAATGTATGATGATGCTATTGAGGTAATTATCAGAACATTTTGTTACTGAATGGATTGAATGTACTGTGAATATTTGATATAAACTAAACAAATGTAACAGTTTTAATATATGTATCAAGGAAATACATATGATGCATATAATAAATTTAAAA